GTTTACTTCCTTGTATGAATATTCAACAAAATTAAAATCACTGAATATTCAACAAAATTAAAATCACTAATAATAAAAAAAAACACATGATAAGAGCCCTCATTTGGCACTTGAAACTAAAAAAAATGGTCATGCTTCTTATACTCATTTAAAACAAAAATGAATAATGAAATATTTTCTTGTTATTTTAATGCTGAAATGTCATTTGCGAAGTGACTGCATAAATATGTCAAAATTGGAAAATTTGATTTTAGATGTCAATTATTTATAATGGTTTTTGTCAGAATTAAAGACCAGCAACAGATGGACCAAACAGATATGTAGCTCTCTTAAACATTTTTGTATACAACATCGTTGAGCAAACTATCTTTTTTTAATAAGAAAAGCATCACATCCAAATATTACTGATGAGGTCACAAAATGAGGTTATTTGCAGGTTTTTTTTAATGCAAAAATGCCTCAAGTGAATATGTAAGACAAAAAAAAAATAATAAAAATATTGAAATAGCTCTTATAAACATCTGAAGGGTCTTATCTGATAAAATTTGTTGTATAATACTTTTTGTATGTCTCAAATTCAATAGGTAAAAACAGTAAAATCATTTTATAGTTTCCTTTGGAAACATTTTGCAATACAATATACAAAACTTCAAATTAATGAAATTGTTGCTTCTGATCTAAAAATAAAAAAATGTGTACTGACTTACTGAATTGTGTCTAAGCTACTAGAATAAATGAATAATATAAATAAGTCTATATTTAAAAAGCATAAATAAAAAAGCATAAATAAAAAAGCATATTATAAATAATAAAGCAATAAATAAGCTTTGCAATACAAACACAAGTGACTTATACATTAATTATTTAATTCTTGCATTACATTCTAAAGAATAAAACTAAGAACGAAAACTAAAACAAATATAAAATTTTAAACAAAAGAGAGTAGATCGATATAAAATAAAAAGCTCATTTTCTATTATTGGAGGTTTGAAGGAAATAAAACCCTTCCCAAGAATCAGTTGGTCTCTACCTGGCTATTTAATTTTTTTTTCAAATTGTACTGTCCCATTGAATAAATATAATAGCTATTGTTCATTTAATGGGAACTTTAATTTCTCCTCGATATATATATTTTGGATGTTTGCGTCATTGAGTCACTGTTTCATTGAAGTATACCCCACATCCTCTTTTATTCATAGAAATCATTACCGTAAACTTCATTGGAATATCCAGAGGGGTGTTGATTTTTGTACTAGTAAAGTGATACTCTGCAAAAATTCTTCCTTTTTTTACAGATCCATCCTTTTAAAGACTACTGTGGATTCATGAATGATTTGATTTGATTTTTTGGTGTTTTAACGCCACTTTTAAGCACCGCTTTTGGGCTATTTCGTGGCGGCCAGTTTTTATTGGTGGAGGAAGCCGGAGTGCCCAGAGAAAACCACTGACCTTTGATAGGAAAACTGACAATCCTAGTCAATTAAGATTGGAGTCGAGTGCACCTGCACGAGCAGGGTTCAAACTCACAACCTGTGTTGACTGGCTAGTGATTACAGTAGTAATTAACTACTTAGACCACTCGGCCACCGAGGCCCCTGATTCATGAATGAAAGTGGTTATGAAATTTTCATAGATTGAGGAAAACTTATATATTTTAATGAATATTTGATTGTGTGGTTTTATCAAAATCTACTAACAAGTCTATAGAAAATATATACTTCCTTTTAAATCTGGGGTGTACTATCAATGATTGATTGATTGGTGTTTTAACGCCACTTTCAGCACCTTTGGGCAGTTTTGTGGCTGTCAGTTTTTATTGGTGGAGGAAACTGGAGTGCCTGGAGAGAACCACTGACCTTCAGTAGGAAAACTGACAATCCTAGTCGATAAAGATAAGATTGGAGTCGAACGTACATGCCATGCACCAGTTTCAAACTCACAACCTTAGTGTTCGACTACTTAAACCATTCAGCCATCGAGGCCGAATTCCAATGAACAAATATGTAAGTTTTAATGCCCTAAAACAATTATTCTTTACAGAATTTTATTTTCTTAATTTTTGATGTTGATCAATATAAACATGACGTTTATTATAGATTGTCCATGCTAAAACTTGATTTACTTTTTCATTTACCAGAGGACAGCTTATAATAAAAGTTCAAAAATGTTATTATGTTTAAATTATTGCAAAAAATTCAAGGGGATAGTTGTCGCAAAAATAAAACTTGCATTTTAAAATTTGATAGCGATATTTGTACACAGCATTTTCTGATATAATAAAATGCTCCGCAGGGCGCAGCTTGATACGACCGCAGAGGTCGAACCCTGAACAGTTGGGGCAAGTATGGACACAACATTCAAGTTTGATACAGCTCTGAATTTGGATTGTGGTTAAATATTTGACACAGCATAGGTTTCTGACAGAATGAATGTGGTCTTGGAAAGAACTTAAAAATTTTAAATTGGACATTCACCTATTATGGTCCAATATCCAAAATCTAAATACATGGTTAGATTCAGCATATCAAAGAACCCCAAGAATTCAATTTTTGATGAAATCAAACAAAGTTTAATTTTGGACCCTTTTGACCTCAATGTGGACAAAGTTGATAATGGGGCCCAAAAATCAAAAATCTAAATACATGGTTCGATTCAGCATATCAAAGAACCCCATATATTCAATTTTTGTTGAAATCAAACAAAGTTTAATTTTGGACCCCGATTTGGACCAACTTGAAAACTGGGCCCATAATCAAAAATTAAATACATGTTTAGATTCAGCATATCAAAGAACCCTTAGAATTCAATTTTTGTTAAAATCAAACTAAGTTTAATTTTGGACCCTTTGGACCTTAATGTAGACCAATTTGAAAACGGAACCAAAAATTAAGAATCTAAATACACAGTTAGATTCGGCATATCAAAGAACCCCTATATTCAATTTTTGATGAAATCAAACAAAGTTTAATTTTGGACCCTTTGGACCTCAATGTGGACCAATTTAAAAACGGGGCCAAAAATCCAAAAACTTAATACACGGTTAGAATCAGCATATTTAAGAACCCCAAGAATTCAAGAATAAAACCCCATTGAAATTGGTCAAGAAATAAGCAACTTATACGAAGAATCTTCTTCTGCACAATACTGTGCAATTGAATATTTCTTGCAATTGCGCAATACTGTACAATTGACAATTTCTTGCTATTGCGCAATATTGTGCTATTGGATATTTCTTGCTATTGCACAATACTGTGCAATTGAAGATTTCTTGCTATTGCGCAATACTGTGCAATTGAAGATTTCTTGCTATTGTGCAATACTGTGCAATTGAAAATTTCTTGCTATTGCACAATACTTATTATATAATAATTTACACATCCTGTTTGATGTGTATCTCCTACCATATCATTATTATTTGCTTTTAAATATAAAACAGAGAAATAACCAACTTAAAATGGAAAATTTTAAAAGAAAAAAAAAAGGAAAAAAAGAAAAAATTCGTAAGTGTTCCGTGGAACCCAGTGTCTCGCCTACTTTTTCTGTTTATCGCAGACTCAACAAAAATGAGGAAGTAAATCAATAAAAATATTCCTCTTGGTACTATCTTTTGATTGTAAGAAGCTTCTGTCCAAGTTTGGTAAAAATCCAGGATAGTTTATGAATCTAAAAAATGTTTAAAAACTTTAACTGCAGACTGAATGTAATGTTAACTGGAAGAAAACAAAATTTCCTTCTAGATACTAGCATTTGATCATAAACAAGCTTCTGTCCAAGTTTGGTACAAATCCAAAATAGTATAAGAAAGTTATTAAAATTTTAAAAACTTTAACCACAGAGTGAATGTGTTGTTTCCTGACAGAAAATCTAAGTCCATTTAAAAGTAAAATACGGAAAAAATGGATTTATTTTTTTACAAAATTTCCTTCTAGATACTAGCTTTTGATCATAAACAAGCTTCTGTCCAAGTTTGGTACAAATCCAAAATAGTATAAGAAAGTTATTAAAATTTTAAAAACTTTAACCACAGAGTGAATGTGTTGTTTCCTGGCAGAAAATCTAAGTCCATTTAAAAGTAAAATAAGGAAAAAATGGATTTTTTTTTTTACAAAATTTACTTCTGGATACTATCTTATGATCATAAACAAGCTTCTGTCCAAGTTTGGTAGAAACCCAGGATAGTTTAAGAAAGTTATTAAAATTTTAAAAACTTTAACCACAGAGTGAATGTAATATTTCCCGGCAGAAAAACTAAGTCCATTTATAAGTAAAATACGGAAAAAATGGAATTTTATTTTTACAAAATTTACTTCTGGGTACTATCTTATGATCATAAACAAGCTTCTGTCCAAGTTTGGTAGAAATCCAGGATAGTTTAAGAAAGTTATTAAAATTTCAAAAACTTTAACCACAGAGTGAATATTTGTGGATGCCGGCGACGACGCCGACAGAATGTAGGATCGCTATGTCTCGCTTTTTCGACTAAAGTCGAAGGCTCGACAAAAAAGGAAAAAAAAAAAAAAAATCCCCCCCCCCAAATTTTTTGAACCCCCTTATGATTCATCACCCCCAAACTCAATTCCAGCCTTCCCTTTGTGGTATGGTACCTTGCAGTACAATTTCAGAGAGATCCATACACTTGAACACAAGTTATTGTCTGAAAACTAGAAAAATGCTTATTTTTGGCCCCTTATTCCTAAACATTTTGGGCAATTACCCCCAAACTCAATTCCAGCTTTCCCTTTGTGATATGGAACCTTGTAGTACAATTTCAGAAAGATCCATACACTTACACACAAGTTGTTATCATGAAACTAGAAAAATGCTTGTTTTTTTGCCCCTTTTTTGGCCCCTAATTCCTAATATTTTGAGGCAATTACCCCCAAAATCAATCCCAGCATTCCCTGTGTGATATGGAACCTTGTGGTACAATTTCAGAGAGATCCATACACTTGAACACAAGTTATTGTCTGGAAACTAGAAAAATGCTTATTTTTGGCCCCTTTTTGGCCCCTAATTCCTAAACGTTTTGGGCAATTACCCCAAAACTCAATTCCAGCTTTCCCTTTGTGATATGGAGCCTTGTAGTACAATTTCAGAAAGATCCATACACTTACACACAAGTTATTGTCATGAAACTAGAAAAATGCTTGTTTTTTGCCCCTTTTTTGGCCCCTAATTCCTAATATTTTGAGGCAATTACCCTCAAAATCAATCCCAGCATTCCCTGTGTGATATGGAACCTTGTGGAACAATGTCAGAGAGATCCATACACTAACACACAAGTTATGTCTGGAAGTTACAAAAATGCTTATTTTTGGCCCCTTTTTGGCCCCTAATTCCTTAACTGTTGGTACCATAACCCCCAAAATCAATCCCAACCTTCCTTTTGTGGTATTGAACCTTATGGTAAAATTTCATAGAGATCCATTCACTTAAACTAAAGTTAGAGTGCGAAAACCAATGTGTCTTCGGACGACGCCAGACGACGACGACGACGCCAACGTCATACCATTATACGACCGCAAAAATTTTTTGCGGTCGTATAAAAATAACTAAAAATCACATTTTTTTTCATTGTTCAACAATCACAGTAATAAATGCACGCAAACAATTCTGAATTTACTGTCACTGTTGAGGTAGATTGACTGATTGATAGTCGTTTTCTAAACCTTCAGCAGCAAATATTTCATGCATATTCAGGACAAAAATATCATAAACAATAATTGAAATATTGTTAATTACTTGTTTAGAAACCTCCAATGAATTAACATGTCAATTTAATTTCAAGAACCATTAATACATTTTTTCTACTTTCGATGATAGACAAAAACCTGAAAAATTACTTTTGACAACTTTATCACAGTTAAAGAAGTGTAAATTATCGTGTATAAATGGGACAGTATAAAAAATAAATAACAAGAAATGAGCTGTCAATTTGACAGCAAACCGAGTTTTCTGTATTTTGAAGGCACTTTCAGGCTTGTTTGACCTGCCACATTCTGAATCTATTTTTAAATGTATATCAAGGACCTTAACTCCTGAACAGCAAAAGTGAAAATCATTAATTTAAAATTGACCTCCATTTTGTGATCAACAACATACCAAAATTTGAAAAGCATTGGTTGAACGGTTCACAGATTTTTACACGGAATCTACATAAAGTGCAATTTTAAAATCTATCAAGGACCATAAATCCTGAAGGATAAAAGTAAAAATGGTCATTATCTAACTTGACCTAAATTTTGTCATCAGTATTAGAATATTAAAATTTAAGTTATTGCACTGAAACTGTTGGCAGCCCTCCACAAGCCCACCACCAATTCTTTCTTCACCATATTTAAAAAAACTTCCAAGTTACATAACTTTCTGTTAGACAAATAATACTAAAACAGCTGTCAAACTGTTTAAATATACTAACTGACATTGACCAAATATTAGATTGAACTGAGAAATAAACTAACTAAAATTACATGCAAGGCGCAGGAGTTTACAAAATACTGTTATGAACATTGTCAACTACACTTTATCAAATCGATTTAGTGAAAATCGTTGTGTTTATATAAGGCGATTGTATTTGTCGTCTGCTTATAAAAAATCGCTTTTGGTTTTTAGTGTAAAATACAAAATAAAAAAAGTCATGTTTTAAATAAGATCCACTGCCATCAACACTGATTGATTGGTTGTTTGTGTTTAATGCCACTTTCAGCACTCTAAACATCTGAAATTACATGCAAGACCAAAAGTTTAAACAATACTGCCATAATCACTTAATGGGAACAAATATCAACTGTTTTGACACTTTTTCATATTGTATAAGTGAAAATCGTTGTGCTTATGAAGAAAAAAGTATTGTGGTCTTCATATAAAAATATCTCAGCTTTTTGTGTACAGTACAACAAAATGAAAAATACTGTATTTAATATGATTTCCTGCTATCAATGATGTAAACTGTTTTGAAATTTTAGAAGATTGTACTTTGTAGTCAAAATCATTGTGTTTGTCTATCTAGACATTCAGTGTACAATACTATAAAATATTTCATAACAGAAAAATAATGGGAAAAATTCAAATAAATATACAAATATTAAAATAACAGACTATATATCTTAACACGGAATGAGAACAAATCAACAATACAAATACAATAAATTTAACAATAACAAATCATAAATAATAATTAATCATTATTTATATCATATTTCCAACCATTGTAGATTTAAACAAAAAACTTTATGATATTTTCTACTGAAATTGTTAATGACAAAATTTGTCTTTTGAATTCATAGTTTACAATACATCAAAATAAGGGTAAAATAAAGAAAGGTCCTGGTGCTTTTGTAAGTTATAACCCTTTGAAAAACTAGAATTTTTGGTATGTATATGAATTCTCAGGAATTTTTTCTAAGGAGTGCACCAGAAAGAAATTAATAAATACTGTATGAAAAATATATATCAAGTATCTCATTTTTTTAAAATAATTTACTACAATCAATTTTGAGATATGTTTAAGAAATGATTGAGAAATATAGAGGATCATGTGCAAAAATGTTAAATGTGTGAGACTGGAGATATATTCTTAAGTACATATGCTGTAATATTTTCAAAATACCCTGTATTTTCTTCTATCAATCTGACCAAATATAATAGAAGGATTAAGTAGCTTTGAAAAAAATGATTGAAAAAATACCAGGTATTTTTCCACAACTAAATGGACAGTTTGTTTTGGATTTTGTAAATATATAACCACAGTGCAATATAATATTTAAGAATGTTCGCTCCTCTGTTTCAAAATACCTTTTTAAAAGACTATTATAAGTTGATAGTTTATAAAGAACAGAACTTAAAAAGCAGAAAAAAAGACAGGTCCGTGTCCTTGTTTATGAGATATAATCAACTGAAAATTTGGCGGGAAATGATTCTCTCTAGATTTTTCATACATTTAACATTACCACCTTTTTACTTTCCAAAACTATGAAAAAATAACAAGGACTTTATAAGATTTTTAAAAATTGCTTTATAAACTATATGTAATAAAATTATGCAAAGAAAAGTGAGGGTTCGCAGGCAAAATTTTTATTGGTACTACATTGGATAAAACTAGAGGATTCTGAATATCTGAAAAAAAAGTTCAAAACTAGAGTGCCAAACATCCTTAAACATTTATATAAGTTCTGCTGTCTCCCTTTCAGTCATCTTGAATATGAGACTTTAGAAATCTAAATCATATGATTTCCAAATGTATACATAACTTAGACAGACTTAAGAAGATTTTTTATATTTTTCACATATAATTTTTTATATATTTTTATATATATATTTAGATACATTTATGGTGGAATGCACCATTTTTTGTTTTGTTTATATATAAGGCAAGACACTTTAACAACATGACTAGTTTTTTTTGAAAACCTTAACAAATTCCCTAGCAAGAGAATTCAACTTATGTCAGCAAAACTCTTAATGTACATGTTGCAAGACATTCTGAAAAGTTCAACAATTTTCAAATTTTAGGTAAAAAATACAACAAATAATTCATTGCACATGCATATAATACAATCTTAAATATAAAAATCTTAAAGAAAATTACAAACACATAAATTCGTAAATAGAAATTCTTAATAATTTACATAACAATTATAATAATTACACAGCTAATTTGAAATTACAGCTTTGGACAAAAGTATCTTTCACAAAAATTCAGCTAATTTGCTTGTCAAGTTTTTTCGGTGGTTTTCCAATTCATTGCAATTTAATTCTCATATTGGTAATACCATTTGTCCAGTCAAATTTAAGCATACTCCATATATGGATGAAAAATCAACTGAAACTATATCAGAACAATCTATGTTGCTTTGCTGTTTAAAGAAGACCTTCTAAGTCTGGATTTTATTGTAATTGCTTATGTCAATAAAATATGTTTTAACTATTTTGGAATAGATTCCATTCTACTGATGATTCTTTTACTTATCCTTGAGCACAGCTCTACTTTTATGCTATTGTCAGAATGTGAAGAAAGGATGCACAATTCTACACCTTTCATTCGTTGCTTTTTCCAAAAATCATCTATGCATTGAGTTATAATTTTGTACTTTCAGACTTTAATAAACATGACAATTAAACAAAAAATAAAGATTTCATTGTATATCAGGATTAAGATTTTTAAACCCTTGCTTACAAATGACATCACAGTCAAACTCTGTCATCAAGTCAGGTCTAACATTTAGTTTTTCTATGCGCTTTTATTCCCCGTGGTTAAAAAATGTAATAAATAATGAAATCATTCATTTCAAATTTTTATATTTTTGCGAATTTATACACATGTCCAATTTAAAACCAAACGTGCATTCTTCAATTTCTTCCAGTTTAATGCTTTAGGCTGCAAATGCTGTTCATTGTCTTTAACATCTCTGATTCTACAGAATCTACATAGTTTACGTGCAACATGATAATAACAAAATAACAAAACTACTCATAAAATCTAGATGTTAATCAATGAAGCATGTAAATGAAGTCTACACCTAAAAATCCTATTTAACATGTACATGTACAATGGGAAATGGTTTTATTAAGTGAAATGTACTATACTTATCACTATGAGTGACTGACACATTGGACTAAGCACAAAATCTTAATATCGTTTGGTGAAGTATGAAAATGAGGTCAAGGGCATAAACCCCTTGCAAGACCTACTTAACATATTATTCATAGCGACATAGAAACTGATCATATTGTTGAAATAAAACCTTGATCAACTGAGTATTACTTACTTTTACTAAAGAGAAAACCTAAATCATGACAAATAAATTTTATATTTACAAAGTCACTGAACCTTGAACAAAAAGTGAAGAAGAACTGATACATGTATATTCCAAACAGTAACTTCTGTAAAAGACATTGATGTACAAAATAAAGATTATTCATTACTAATATCATTTCAAATATTAAGCAAGGGGAGGACACAGGGTTTCTTATTTCCCAAATCTAGCTTTTTTGTATTTTTTTCAAACTTTGGACTTTTTTTCGTTCTTTTTCCAGATTTTTTCACCCTTTTATCCAACATCCCAACTTTTTTACCGCCTATATCCCACCTCCCAAAAGTGTGTCATCTCCCACATACATACTGCGTCTAACATTCAATTATTTTTTTTAAGGCAAGACAAAAAACATTTCATTTAAATCATGCTACCAATTCAGTTTCCAGCACCTTCCAGAAATCAAAAGTAGTTCCCCGATTATTTAAACAGGAGCTGTTTCATGCAGTTCAACACTGTAAGATCTTTTTCTTCTTTGGAATAGTAAACTGGTTGGGGATTTCAGTTTGTCAAAGAATGAAATACTGGTACCAGAACTGTGCTTAGAACTTGATGCAGTGCTGCCATCTGTTAGTGGAGAAGATTCATCCATCGTATCTACAATTGGTGTAGTAGTCACAGTCTTATGAGTATTATCACTTCTTGTACGTACTGGTCTGAAGGATCCCATGCTTGACTGGTTTGAGGGACCATGATATGTGTAATGATAACGCTTTGGAAATGTTGGTGAAAAAACAGCATCAGGTGTAAAAAGATCAGTAGAAAGCTGTCGAGAAAATGCCTGAAACAAAATTACAGCAGTGTGTTCAAACATGAGTTTTTGTACCAAAAAAAATATAGACAATGCTCAAGCATTTTGAGTGTTTTTAGGTCATAATAAATATATTTTATCCCTAAACAAAATAAATCTGCCTGCATTCACCATAAGAAATTATCTAACTTTTCAACCATTGAGTGTTAGAACAAATAATAATTGTACTGACTGATCCAATTTTAAAACATACAAGAATGTATGTGTTGTTGTGCTATGCATACTCTACAAATGACATATGCATGTTACAACTCATCACTGTCATACTGCTGACCAAACATGAAGCGTTCAGTAGTTTTTGAGAAAAGTGTGACAAAAATATTTTGTTTTCATATACATTTCAGACAGACAAAACTGGGTAAATATATTACATTTAGGGGGAAGCATATAAGCTAAAGTTTTATAAAACTTACATTAGTTCTATTTGAGCCTGGAATACGACTCTGAACATATTGCACTGATGGTTCTTGTTCAACCGACTACAAACAAAATAAGGCATACATTGGAAGTCATTTGCATCAAAACTTAATTTTGATATTTTCTTTTTTATCATTTTTTTTAATTAGCAATGATTTAAATGCAAGTCTGCATACCTGACCCTTTCTAAATGATATTTAAACCTATCAAATTAACACAAATCGTCATCATGGTGCAGCAAAATATGTTTTATGAATTCTCATTATCAGCAAAACTTTGTCTTATACCATTGTTTTATATTTCTATTATGGACTAACTATATTCATTGGGATAGGATATTTTTAATTTGTAATGCACACTCCTTACTTGGTTTGAACTTAAAACTAATTACCTTCCATTCACTGTGAAATTCTTATATTTAAACAGATCTCTTTTCATGTGTTTTAAGTTGGTTGGTTGAAATATCATAAAGATCACTTCACCTATTTCTCTTTGTGTCAAAAGAGGGGCGAAAGATACCAGAGGGACAGTCAAACTCATAGATCGAAAATAAACTAACAACACCATGGCTAAAAAATAAAAGACAAACAGACAAATAATAGTACACAAGACACAACATAGAAAACTAAAGACTAAGCAACACGAACCCCACCAAAAACTAGGTTTGATCTCAGGTGCTCCGGAAGGGTAAGGGATCATAGATTTATTCTTACGAGGAAGCTCCGAGCATGCTCGGAGGATGCTCGGAGCTTTTTCAGTAGGCTCTTCTCTGCAGTTTATGTGAAAATAATTATCATGATCCATTAAGATGTCAATCAAATCTACACCACTTCTATAATAAGGAAAGTAGAGCATTATAGAGGAAGCTCAATTAACACCTGTGTAAACATCTAATCTATTCAAATACATTTTGCCTGAAATTTTACAAAACTATAGAATAGATTAGAAATTCTTCAACAGTACTGTGTAATGCTTGGAAAGAAATCTCGTGTCTCCACAAAAAGTGAAAGTCATTTAACAAAAAATATACAATTATTATATTTTTAAAATAATCATTTCTTTTTTTATAATAAAAAAAATTCTCAAATTTTATAATTAGATGATATGATTTAAATATAGTTTATATTATATAATATGCTACATAAAAGTTATCAAGACACAAACAACAGTCAGGGGGCGATACTAAACGAGTTATTTTTTTTTAGTTACATATATTAATATAGGTATTTTTTGTTTTTTTAAATTTTTTGATATAATCTCAATTGTTATTTTAAATGTCAAAAGTGGACTAAATGTAGTTTTTAAGAATTTTTATATCATTTCATTAAGTAAAATTAAGTATTTATCCAACTTGAGATGAGTATAGAGAGATTACTTTAAAAATAATGACAAAAATATTACTTTTATAAATTATTTATACATCTTCGAAAAACTAAGCATACTTACAATTATTTAAGGAACATATGTAATTGTTTTTGATAAATATTTCAAATTATAAATAACTTCAAGTCTTAATTAAATCACAAAGTTCCATCCATTTATATTTGTTCATCTCTAAGATTTTGAAGGAAAATGCTATTTTAATAGCCCCAAGAGACCAATCTATGACCAAGAAGTGTGGCATCAGAAAGGCAATTAGTGTTTCAGGAGGATTTAAATAGTTTTATACTGCATGGGGAAAATAACCAGATGTGAAAATTTGTTAAAGCTTGTAAAACCTGTATGAATGGACACCTATAGAAATAATATTAACAGAAGTTACTTATTCATGATGTATAAGTAATATTTAAAACAACCTTGTTTTCAATATAACTTGTATAGGTTATTTTGAAAATTACTAGTTTAAGTAATGCCCTTAACTAAACAATGGTATTTTTTTTTTATAAAATAGCAAAGTTAGTTTTTGATATAAAATATTTTTGCAATTTTAGGGGACATGGCTACTTAAGCTTGTAAACAGAGAAAAAAAAGGGGGATAGAATTTGGTTAGTTAATTCTGGTGATGTCTTCTTTCTTATATGCACTGAAAAATTATGTTGTTTTATTACTATAGTACAGGACAAGAAAAAACTTTACTCTTGTCAAGTATTTCTTTATTTAAAACATAGATAAATTCTGCACATATTTTTGGAAAAATACCAATTAAACAAAGACTGATAGGAGGAAACAATTTTATATTAGATTTTCATTCAAGTACAGGTCAGGATAAAACTTCACTTATATAATTATGCCAAGTATTTCTTTATTTAAAATAAAACCAAATCTGCACAATTATAAAAATAATGACAATTAAAGTGAGACGTACTAGAGGGAAAACAATGGTGGTATTACCTCCTCAACTTTTCTTAGAGTAGCCATAATGTTTTTCATAAAAAACTAACTTTGCTATTTTATAAAAAAAAAAAAATTATCATTGTTTTAATAGTTAGGGGCATTACTTAAACAAGTAATTTTCAAAATTACTTATACAAGTTATATTGAAAACAAGGTTGTTTCAAATATTACTTATATATCATGAATAAGTAACTTCTGTTAATATTATTTCTATAGGTGTCCATTCATACAGGTTTTACAAGCTTTACCAAATTTTCACATCTGGTTATTTTCCCCATGCAGTATAAAACTATTTAAATCCTCCTGAAACACTAATTGCCTTTCTGATGCCACACTTCTTGGTCATAGATTGGTCTCTTGGGGCTATTAAAATAACATTTTCCTTTAAAATCTTAGAGATGAACAAATATAAATGGATGGAACTTTGTGATTTAATTAAGACTTGAAGTTATTTATAATTTGAAATCTTTATCAAAAACAATTACATATGTTCCTTAAATAATTGTAAGTATGCTTAGTTTTTCGAAGATGTATAAATAATTTATAAAAGTAATATTTTTGTCATTATTTTTAAAGTGATCTCTCTATACTCATCTCAAGTTGGATAAATACTTAATTTTACTTAATGAAATGATGAAAAAATTCTTAAAAACTACATTTAGTCCACTTTTGACATTTAAAATAACTATTGAGTTTATATCAAATAATTTAAAAAAACAAAAAATACCTATTAATATATATTAAGTAACTAAAAAAAATAACTTGTTTAGTATCGCCCCCTGACTGTTGTTTGTGTCTTGATAACTTTTATGTAGCATATTATATAATATAAACTATATTTAAATCATATCATCTAGTTATAAGATTTGAGAATTTTTTTTATTAAAAAAAAATAAATGATTAATAAATATAATAATTGTATATTTTTTGTTAAATGACTTTCACTTTTTTGTGGAGACTTGAGATTTCTTTCCAAGCATTACACAGTACTGTTGAAGAATTTCTTATCTTTTCTATAATTTGTAAAATGTCATGCAAAATGTATTTGAATAGATCAGTTGTTTACACAGGTGTTAATTGAGCTTCCTCTATAATGCTCAACTTTCCTTATTATAGAAGTGGTGTAGATTTGATTGACATCTTAATGGATCATGATAATTATTTTCACATAAACTGCAGAGAAGAGCCTACTGAAAAAGCTCCGAGCATCCTCCGAGCATGCTCAGAGCTTCCTCATAAGAATAAATCTATGATCCCTAAGCAGATCCTGCTCCACATGTGGCACCCGTCGTGTTGCTCATGTTAACATTTTATGAATTATAGATATGTACATCAGTACCTAGTGCAACACAGTATAGTTTATATATAATTTGCTAATTTGACTTGAAATAAGCACGTGTTTATGTGAAATAGTTTCCTTTACAACCGGAGTTTAAACCTGTTCACCTAATAAAGTAACTTTTTCAGGGAAGTTAATTTAATAACTACTTTAATAAAAGGTAAGTGTATGACAAAAGGAACAAAATGTGCAAAAACTGAACCAAAGGTGGTGTGGGTAAATGATTTTGAGATCATAACAGGCAAATCTAGACAAAAAGATCCATGGCATCACAAAAAAACCTGCTTTACACTCTGGCTCCACTTTTGCTGTTATATTGCTCTTTATTCATAAAATGTGAGAAAGGATACCAACCTCTATGATAGTTCTAAGACGTTCAGCAGTTCCTTCACTTTTAACTCCTTGCTTCTTCTGAAAAAAAATAAATGGAGAATGTGTCCATGGTATGCAGATGATGCCCCCGCTTGCATATAACTTTATAAAGGGACATAACTCAAGAACAGTCAAAGTGACGCCACCCAAATTCGAACTTGATCTGAGTTTTGTGGTAATAAGCATTGTGTATAAGTTTCATAGCAATGATAACATTTGGTTTAGGCAAACTTAAGTGAGAGAACTGAAATGAAAAATTCAGCAATTTTTCCATTTGTAAAGGGGCATAACTCTATAACGGTACAAGTGACACCACCCAAATTTGATCTGTGTTTTGTGGTAATAAGCATTGTGTACAAGTTTCATAACATTTGGTTGAGGCAAACTAAAGTTAGAGAACGGAAACCAATTTTGAGATGTATGTACGGACAGACTGACAAGGGTAACACTTAATGCCCACTTTTGAAGACAGCAGGGGCATAAAAAGCATGTTGGTTTTTTATTGTTAATTGCTTAACTATGTGGTGTTCCTTATTTTCAAATCTCAAAATTTCAGTGAATCCTCTCTGTTGAAGAAATTGCGCTGTACTTTCTTTGACAGGGGGTAGTTCCCATCAAGAAGTAAATACACCAGCTACTATGATATCATTGAATCATGTCCAATCAGAACCTCACATTTAAGGAATACCAGTACTGTATTTAAAGAGTTGCCACTGTCATTTGGGGATTTCAAGGTAGCAAATGCACAGGGATCTCCATGGATGAAAATTTAACGCTGGAGGAACTTTCACCATGACAAAACCCTACGTCTAAGGCATGGCGGGATTGAAAGTATTTCATTTCTCAATTTCCATGTAAGAATGGTGAACAGACTAGTATATTGCTTATTATATTTATTTTATTATAGAAAAACTAATATTTTCATTCATTGTCATTTGTAACAATTCCAATGCAGCGGTTCAAATTAGCGGTGGTCCGAGGTCAGTGACCTTCCATTTACGGGTTCGGACCTTCCCATCGGTTAAGTAAGTTACACCCGACGGACTTTCGTATTTTTACAGGTTAAAAAAGTTATAAAAGCATTTTGAACAAAAAATATAAAAATAATCTTAAGATCTGCTGCTTTACTGAAAGGGAACTTCTGTGTTTGCTTAAATTCTTCACAATTGATTTGATTTGTAGTCACGTGACCAGTCGTCGTACAAGATTCCGGGGTACCGGGATACTCGTGAATATAATATTAAAACATAACTAGTTAATGGTATGAGTCTATTTGGTTTTTGGATGACCTCTTCCAAAAGAAAACCTAATGAAACAGGGAATACAGGGAGGTGATTGATGAAACTGCTTAATGCAGCCCAAAAGACAGGACCTGACTAAAGACCAAAAACATGACAGGGAAAAACAAGAATGTAAATTTTTTCCCACACACAGAGAAAGGGAAAGTGCCCTGGTTTGTTGGACAAAAAACTTAAAAATTGACCCCATAAAAAATCATGATGAAAAATTACCACCAGCATCTATATATCTTGCCAAAAAAGTGGTTAAAAGAAACTGACCCCAATTAAGTTTGAAAACGAAGTTGAGCTGTTATCTGACACAAAGTTCGGCCAGTGTGTTCTTAAGCAGCAATTGAAACCAAGACAATTAAAAAGGTACAAAGTTTTATTTAACACAGCATATAGTGTTGGGGAAAAGGGGAAGCCTTTTTCTGACTGAATTTATTTAAGAAATTCAGAAAAAAAAATGAGGTTAATGTAGTAATTAAGATATGATGAGTGTTTTGGAATAGTATTAAAGCCTTTTCTGTTTTTATAAATTGAATTTTCGATAAAAATTAGACCTTCTAAAAAATAAAGGAGGACCTTTAAGTATTTTTGGTCAAAGGTCCTGGACCTTCCATTTCCTAAAGTAAATTTGAACCCCTGCACAGGCAGACAATTGGGAGGACAAAGGGATGACTATATCCTCCTGAATTTTTTCTCAGGGCTTCCTCTTGAGTGGACCTTATGCAAGATTTTAACATAGAACACTGTAAATGTTCACACCATTCAGTCACAGGAGTATGCATGAGGGGATAGAGTCTCATATTCAGATTTGAAAGGAGATGTATAATTGTTATTTCCTCAGAAAACAAATCCTCAATGGTCTATCTTAAGTACTTCTCTTGAAATGCACTTTTCTATGCACCCAAAATTAAGCTGTAAACAACATGACTTGAAATTAGTCTCAATAATCATTTCTACCCTCAATTCTTCTAAGAGTTTCTTTGCTTCAGCTCCAAAATTCAGAGAATCTTTCCCCTTCAAAGTCACATATGAATCTCTGGCAATCTAAAACATATAATTTCATTTAAACAAACGTTTGTATCAAAAATATTATTAATGTCAAAGACAACAGTTACTATATCAAACCAACACAAAACCACAAACATAACAAAACATCTGTCTAAATATATTCAAAATTGTGTGCCAGGTAATTCGTATTTGGGTCAGACGGAAATCTTCGGACTAAAATTTTGATCTCATTCTAATTAATGATATACTAAAGCTGACAATTAGATCTGACTTCAATCTAAAAAGTCTGAACTTAAAATTGTTAAGTCCTACTAAAGATTTCAAGAAATTTTCAAATACTTTCTTAAGGTAAATAACTATTCGTTGGATACCAATTTTTTGTGGGTTTTGTGGGTACAGGTGAACCACAAATTCAAATTTTCAACGAATTACAATTTTTCTACAGGCTATGTGTGCAGAAATTGGCAAAACAACGAAATCAAATATCATTACAAATGCAAGTTTTCCTCAATCCACGGAAATTGATACCCACGAAAATAAATGAATCCACAGAACCCTTTTACTATGAATTTATCTATTTTTCTAGAAATCAATTTTGTGGATTATGCAAAAAAAAAAAAATATTTTCATTTTTTGATTCATGGTTTTGCCAAAGTCTGTATGCAACAGGGCTTCCAAAATATATTTGAGCCAGCCGGACATTTTTTTTGTCTTATCCCGATTTTAATCCCTTAAGACTTATTAATGAAAGGCAACCATAGTAATCAGTTGGGCATCATATGAATAATGATTGACCAAACACAGTATTTGACTTGATTTTTAATATAAATTCGATGTTCTGGCGCTGACTGTTAAATTGACAGTGCACCATTCGAAGTGTGTAACATCAGCGTATTAATATCTGTCTAGAACTCTTTATTTGTGCAAAATTACGCTGTCAATAACTAAACCTCTTTCCGCATTATTTCTACAGGAAAAGACTCAATATGAACGTTACATATACATGATATAGTTATCAATGATATTTTAAGCATTTTTGAAAATGCGGATGCATATTTAATCTCACACCTGTGCACATGTGCAAGAGTGTACTAGTTCAAACAACATGGTTCTGCATAGTTGCCAACTGACATGATATTCGCGTGTAATACACGCTTTTTCAACGGTTTACACGCGAGGATTTTGTCACATGGCGTGTACACGCTTTTCATCACTTTACACGCAACTACACGCTTTTTCGTTGTTTTGATTTTTTGGTCGTTAGTGGTATCGCGATTCTCGGGTTTTGTCATTATTTGATGATAAATACCGAAAATTTCGAAGTAATTGTTTGATCGCCATTGTTTATTTTTCAATATGGACGAACAGAAAAAGCCCTTAAGGTAAGTAGTTTGTGATTAGTTTTTACGATTTTGTGACTTCTTTCAAATTCACTTAGGGGAAATGTCCACAGAAAGAGGTCGCTTTCAGGACCTGTATCGTCGTCTAAGCGAAAACCATGTGTACGTACCAAGATTCAAGATTTATAAATTATAATTTGGGAGTTCGAGTTTAAATGATAGAGGGAAGAGTAACGCCTTGTGCACCCTATGTTGCAATCATAACATGTGAGAGGAGAACTACAATGTAGCTATTTGATTAAGCATTTAACATGTTTAATGGTAATCAAATTATAAAATATTTTTCTTTTTCAGTTTCAAATCTAGCCAACGCTTACAACAGATTTCCACAGGCCATAGGGGATGGAAATATCACGAAACTGTTGGATCAGTTCTCATAGTACCAGCTGTCTTCTGATGAACTACCCAGTTTTGACCAGGCAAAAGCAACATATAGCTTGTTGGAAGCAATGGCAGAGATAATAGATGACATTTAAATGGCAAAAAAACGTTATGACACTCTTCCAAAGCTTGATAAAGCTATTTTAGTTCAGCCAAATATCAATTCTGACTGTGAGAGAGCGTTTTCAATTATAAAGAAATTTACACTGAATTCTGATCAGAACTCGACAATGATATATTGTGTGCCTTGTTTATAATCAAGTAAATGTAACCAAACTGGCAGTTGTTTTGAATATGTGCCTAGTGGTGTTGCTTTAAAAGCAGAAAAACAGACCACTGTTGAATACAATAAAAGTTTACAGTAGAATATTGTTTTTTATATTAACAAATTTGTATAATGTGAAATTATGAACATTGTTCATATTAAAAAGTCTGCATCTACGTCACACGTTTTCACACGCTTTTTGACATGTCATGTCATGTCATGACATGATTTCTCATTGTCAGAGGTTGGCAAGTATGTGGTTCTGACGATTTTTCACTTAAAACCTTTATTACTACTTTTTTTTATTTTTCATCAAATCATATTTATATACATTTTCTGATAATCTGAATCTTGTTGACTAAATTAATTAGATGCAAACCGCTGAAATTTAAGAAAATAACTTTTAATACTAGACCGATCAATTTCTGGAACAAAATAGTTTACCTGTCGCCTGAACAGGTAAAATCATTTGTCAGAGGACTAATTAACCTTGATTGTAATGAGAAGGTTTTATAGTAGGGTTAGTTTTGATAGTAATTGTTAATCATGTCACTTATATGACTGGAAATGTGTGGCTGTTTAAGGCAAAAGGTCATGTCAAAAAGATCACATAAGCTTCAATTTTTTTTCTGAACTATATTAAAATGTCCGTTTCAGCGTTGGCACAACAAGTCATTTATATAATTTATCGGACTTGTCCGGAAAATATGATCGTTTTGGAAGCCCTGGTATACAAGCCTTTAAAAATGTGTACTTTGTTTAACATTTAAATTTGTGGTCCACCTATACCCACTAATTCCACAAAAATTGGTATACCACAAACAATAATGAATCCCTATTATTCAGAAATTTTTCTGTGTCGAGTCATATACTGTAAATTCAGAAATTATTGCCAGGTTTATATTATTTCGAATAATGCGACTGAGTGAGTATTCTAATATTAAGAACTCGCATTCGGATATCTGATACATATATTTGTATGCATATAGAAATTCTAGAAATTGCAATAATTGATCTCGCATTCATGTCCATTCTTCAAAAAACACAATAATAAATGCACACAATAATTTCTGAATTTACAGTAGTGCATCAATGAATGTTTATCAATTAAATGCAATTACTGAATAATGATCACCTTGATGTCATCTTTCCAAAAACCCCTGGATTCATCTGATACTGAAGTCTGAGGTGCCACTTCTTTTATCTGGAAATATAATTCCATACAGTTAGTTATGGTAATTTCATTTGTCTGATAAGTTTGTGAACTTCTTCTATAATATTGGGGTTTCTTGATTATGGTTTTTATACATTTGCTCTAGAGCCTAGTTCATTGAACAAGTATGATGTTCAAAGGGACATAACTCTACAATTTTTATGCTTGAAATTTGCTATATCTTTATCTGTTTAATATGTCTTAAGCTACGTTGTATAAACCAATTATTCCAATCATCTGGTATGTATTGTTGAAATCTCCTCAAATTCAAAATAAAATAAATAAAGAGTACTGATATGTATTTTTGAACAATGACGTGTTAGTGATCAGTAGATATTTTTTGCAAAATTTTGAATGATTGAAAACTATAGTATGCTATATGAAAATGATTATAAAACCATTTTTTTTTATATTTAAGGAATGACTGTAATATTTTTTCTGTCTATGAAGAAATAACATCAAAAATGTGGTGCACACTGAATAACTCGCGTAGCGGGTTATTTTAAAGTGTGCACCACATTTTTGATGTTATTTCGAATAGAAAGAAAAAATATTACAGTCATTTCTTATAATTTAATTCTTAATTCCATTTTAAACCGGAGTAAAAACGTTGATGACGTCAAGGTCACATGACAAAATTATGTCTATGAGCTGATAAACAAAACAACGTCAGCCAATCGGAAGACGCGTTACATCCAAAATTAAATTATTACTTGATAAACACATTAACAAAACTTTAGTAATACAATTATTTTAAGAAAAATGCAACTGTCAAACGGAAGAATAGAGTAAAGCAATAAAATGTATTCTCCAGAAACCATGCCAGTTAATTACATAAACATATTTCTATGTTCAGTGAATTATGAAATCTTAGTAAAAACTCTAATTTGGCATACATCTTTAAAAATGTCACATCATAATGAACATGTGTAAAATTCCTGTAACCACAGCTTCATGGTAAACTAATTTAACTCAAAATTTTAACCTCATATATTTCCATGTTTAGAGCTCATTCTGTGTCAAAATCCAATTTGGCATAAATTTTTATACAATACACTTCACACAATAATGAACATAGGAACTAAATTTAAAGTTGATTTGAGGGGCCTCAGTGGTCAAGTGGTACATATAAGTAGTTCAACTTCTGTAATCACTAGCTGGTCATCACTGAGGTTGTGAGTTAGAACACTGCTCAGGCCGTTGCACTCGACTCTAATCTTAATTGACTAGGATTGTTAGTTTTCCTACCAAAGGTCGGTGGTTTTCTTTGGGGACTCCGGCTTCCTCCACCAATAAAAACACCGCCATGAAATAGCACAATAGTGTGGAAAGTGGTGTTAAACACCAATCAATCAATCAATCAAGTTGATGTGACCATGATATTGTAAATAACTGTAAACCAAACTTTAACCTGATACGAGTGGAACAAACAGACAGATGAACGGACAGGGAAATATAATGCCCCTATTAATGTTGGCGGGTTACAAAAAGAGCTGTTTCTATGATATACATTTTTTTCTATTGATTGCTCCCTCATGAATATTCATCCTTGATCCTTTCTTTTTCTTTTAAAATACACTTTTTTGTTTCTGGGTTCATATTTTTGTGGTTTTGTGGTGTTCTGAACTTATGCCTTCAGACTAAGCATAAAGTAAATCAATCCTTTCAATGGCAACTAATATTTGGTTTTTAATGAGAACTGGTACCCTTGTAAAAGAAATTTCAAATATATAGAGTATAGTAATGGTTTCGCTGAAGCAAAAACCAGTAATCTGTTAACTAATATTCATGTAATGGTCAATTCTACTCAGTATTAAATTTTTTTTTTCAATAATTGTAAGCTGATGAAATCAACTAGAGGCTCTAAAGAACCTGTGTCGCTCACCTAGGTCTACATGGTCTATGTGCATATTCAACAAAGGACACTTTCCAACATTGGAGACAAGAATAGAATTCATGACAAAAATCTCCTTTTTACTGATCTTGTATTGCTGATCATTTTGTCTGTTTAGTTTCTCTCTATCTACTTTAGTTTTTGCTCAAAACACAAAAGAGGGTAAAAAGATCCTCATTCATTTAAGGGCAATCACTCCTATGAAGAGTGACAGTCAACTATTAATATCGACAAAATTCAACTTGTTTGTAGATCTTGCCTTGGTGATCATTTTTGTTATTTAAAGTTTCTATCTGACTATTATAATTTTAATCATATAAGGCAAAACGCAAAAATTGGTAATAAACGTCATTGAAGGGCAATAACTCTAATAAGCAGTTGTCCAACAATTTCCTCCATATGTCTTTATTGTAGATCTTGTCTTGCTGATTCTTTTTGACTTATTTAAGTTTCTGTCTATCTATTCTTATTTTTAAGATACAAGGCAAAAATTCTAAAAATTGGTAAAAATCGTCATCAAAGGGCAATTACTCTAATAAGGAGTCAACAGATGATTTTGACCATGTGATACTTAATTGTAGATCGGGTCTTGTTGATCATTTTTGTAACTTAAAGTTTCTCTCTACCTACCATAGTTTTCAAGATAAAGGGCAAAAATGAAAAAAAAATTAAAATTTGTCATTTAAGGTAGATGGGGTGTCTAAATTATAATCCATAGAATTTTTTAATAATTTGCCAAAATGTAGTTTATATCATGCTTTTTTGAAGGTTCACAGGGCTTATTTTCACGCTACAGGTTGTGCAAAATTGACAGATTTTGTATAGATTATGCATGGAAAACGCAATTTTCTGCCATAAAACGAAAACTACACCATAGAATTTTGAGATAAAATCTGAGATGATAGCTCTAATATTATACTTTCAGATAAGAAAAAGAAAAAATGGGGTCACCCGGCCCGTTTTCTTGCTACATTATAAAATAGATAAATTCCTAACACATTCTATTGTAAAAGTAACTTTATCTGAATTATCTGCCCTTACATTTGAGTTGCTTCCCCTTATGTGGCAAAGTTGGAAAAAATTGAATCAAACAAAAGTATTCTGTTTTTTGTAAAATACAACAATAAATATAATAAAACATGTCATTTTCTATATTAAAATGAAAATTCTTACACATGAATTACCCACTACTCTCAAAATTTGCACATTTTATTAAAGGTCTAGACCGATTATTTTCTTGTATTTCAAAATCCAAGATGGAGGAAGACACCCTATCTACCTTAAGGGCAATAACTACTATAAGAAGTCACCTGACAGTTTTAACGTAAAATGACAATTGGTAGAGCTCAACATTCTGAACATTTATCCCGTCAGATTTCCTCTATTTATAACGATTTCAAAATAATAGACAAAACTTGCATTTTACGCCCATGTTCTATTTTAAGCCATGTCAGCTGTATCTTGGTTGGAAGGAGGGATCATCAGACACATTTTTAAACTAGATACCCGAATGATGATTGTGACCAAGTTTGATTAAATTTGGTCTATTTGTTTCAGAGGAGAAGATTTTTGTAAAAGTTCACGGACGACAACCACGGATGACACCCACAGACGACAAATGATGAATAAAGTTCACTTGGCCCTTTGGGCCAGGTGAGCTTATACACACTGTCAGGTAAACTAGCTTGACTCTAATTGGTAATTTTACCTTTAATTTACAGGAGTTCTGCACATTTAAGTTTGATTTTGTCAAGATCTTATAGCGAATTTAATACAACTGAACACTTTTTAAAAAAAAATTGGTTCACAGGTGAACTGTTTTTGCTGTAACATACCTTGAGGAATATAATTCCTATAACAAAGATACAGACAATATTAAGTATGGTCAGACTGAGGCTTATCAATCCTAAAATGACTGACTCAATCTCCATCTGACAGCTATGGACTGGTTCATATTTATTGTTGAGGAAGGCAGGACAAGCTAGAGAAACTGATGTATTTACAGTCACGTTGACAGTTGTATTCATGGATGTATTCTAAAGTGACAAAAAAAAAGAGTTTATTGCATTATTAAGTTAGCAACTTCTACTTTTTAAAACCATGACTGTGAATGAATCTAAAGAAAACGTCACAGTTGTAATTAAACATAAATACATTTGCAACTTCAAAATGAGCAATACATAATGATTTGGAAATCATATAATATCATTTTTATAAAGGTCAAATTCCATGTCTAATATTTTAAAAACAAGAATGTATCCATAGTACATGGATGCCCCACTCACACTATCATTTTCTATGTTCAGTGGACCGTGAAATTGGGATCAAAACTCTAATTTGGCATTAAAATTAGAAAGATCATATCATACGGAACATGTGTACTAAGTTTCAAGTTGATTGGACTTCAACTTCATCAAAAACTACCTTGGCCAAAAACTTTAACCTGAAGCGGGACAGACGAACGGACAGACATACAGACCGAAAAACATAGGGCATAAAAAATTTATCTACTCCACTTTTCCCTAATATAAAAAGTGTTGCCATGTACCATGAAAAAAGATTGACAATTTTTGCCGTTTACTTAAAATTAAACTAAATGAAATCCTCTGAAAAAGATAGTTAGACAGTAAAACTAATTCAGTATTTTCACATAGATATGTTTAATTGCAAAAAAGTTTTTTTATTATATTAAAAACATCAAAATAATAATGTGACTATCCCATATTGTTTCATGAAGTCTTCCTTACCTGGTTTTCGATGAATGTTTGAGGGACTAGTTCTAATGGTTTTATCACAGTTACTAAGGAATGTGCCCATAACATGCCCTGCAAGTATATAAAACACAACTGCAAAACAAGTCAATAGTTCAAGTTAAGTAATTAGAAAAGCAAGGGAGTATGGCAGTTTCAAATTAAGAATTTGTGACTCAGATTTGTTTTCTCTTGATCAATTTCTGACTTTTGAACAGGGGTATACTACTGTTGCCTTTATTTGAAATAAAAACCAATTAAAATAATTGATTACTGTTTTTTATTTATTCAAAAACATCTTCAATTCCATACATCCTTCACAAACTGCACAATTTAGTGCTCTTTAAATCTCATTTCCCGAAGAGATTTTTCCTCTAAAATATTAAACCTTTATGATTTGTAGAAATTACGTCATCATTCAATAAATATCAACTCTAAATGATACAACAAATATCAACCCTACATGATACAATGAATATCAACCCTACATGATACAACAAATATCAACCCTAAATGATATAACACCTATCAACCCTACATGATACAACAAATATCAACTCTACATGATACAACAAATATCACTCCAAAATTTTACAACAAAGATCAACCCTACATAATACAACAAATATCAACCCTAAATGATATAACACATATCATCCCTAAATGATATAACAAATATCAACTCTACATGATACAACAAATATCAACCCTACATGATACAACAAATATCAACCCTACATGATACAACACATATCAACCCTAAATGATATAACACATATCAACCCTACATGATACAACAAATATCAACTCTACATGATACAACAAATATCTACTTTAAATGATACACACAAATAATAACCCTAAATGACACAACACATATCAACCCTACATGATACAACAAATGTCAATCATAAATGATACAACAAATGTCAATCCTAAATGATACAACAAATATCAACCCTACATGATACAACAAAAATCTACCCTAAACGAACAACAAATATCAACCCTACATGACACAACAAATATCAACCTACATGATACAAGAAATGTCAATCCTTAACAATACAACAAATATCAACCCTACATGATACAACAAATATCTATCCTAAATGAACAACAAATATCAACCCTACATGATACAACAAAAATCTACCCTAAATGAACAACAAATATCAACCCTACATGACACAACAAATATCAACCTACATGATATAACAAATGTCAATCCTTAATGATACAACAAATATATACCCTAAATGATACAACAAATATATAGCCTAAATGATACAATAAATATATACCCTAAATGATACAACAAATATATACCCTAAATGATACAACAAATATATACCTTAAATGATACAACAAATATATACCCTAAATGATACAACAAATATCAACCCTACGTCACTGTGATTGGTTAGTGCAGGTGAACAAATCTGGCCTACAAAATTAGTTTGTTTACGAAATGTTTACAAAAGATCATTAATAGCCCCAAAAATCTTCAAATCATAGCATTATTTCAATAGAAAAATTTTGAGTTGATAGATGTGTCAGGAAACTAGATATCTTTTAGTGTAACTTTATACTAACGTCAGTGTCATTATACCCTAATAACCACGTGTAAGGACTGAGAAACTGCATTTCGTGACCAATATTTGACTTTTTTGATTCCAGAAATATTTGACTATGTTCAGACTTTTAATCTCTGTTAGAACAGATTTGAAGAATATGTCCTTCTTGGAAAAACCATTCCTGCTTACTGACCATCACTGCTGATCTGATGCACAAAAGCATACTCCGAAAAAGGGTCTAAATTACATGTTTGTTTAGTATACTATATACAGTCATTTTAGTCTATCTCAAAAAACCCACTCATGTGACACAAAAGGTCAGTTTGTACATTATCTACCACATTTATGTGACAAGAGTTTTTCATTGACGTCTTCATACAATAAAACTGATTGAATACAAAGAAATTTTAAGAATGTATGAGTTTGGTTTTACAAACTATCAGCCTCACTGTTACAACTTCCCTTTAAAACACTAATAAACCAATAAAAAAACAAACAAACAAAATAGAAGATGGACTAAAATATAGCTTTCTGGTTAATTTCTATATGAGCTAAGGAAAATGAGAAGACCAAAATAATCAGAGATCCTAACATTACTGAGCTAAAGATTTATGTAGCCATGTATAAACTAGGACCAGACTTAGCTGAAGCTTATATCTGGTAGACAAGCACCTAACTCACACATTATTTCTGACTGGAGAGTCAACAGTGACAAGTTAGAATACTTCCAGCATTTACAGCTGGAGACAGCAGGAGGTAGGAGTGATGCTGAGATGGCCAGACCCACCAATGATTCAGCAGTGCCAAGTCAAAATACTTACAGCATTTACAGCTGGGGGAAGGAGTGAAGCTGAGATGGCCACACCCACCAATGACCCAGCATTACCTCCTAAAACAGACAAGGCTACACCAATACCAGAGGCTAAAGCAATCATTAATCCTGGAACAAGACCTCTTAACACTCCCCTGTAATGAAAATAAAAAATAAAATTATACATAAAAAAACTGGAGATTATTAAGAAATAGACTACATTTCTTAAATTATTTTTTTCCTGCCATCCCCATTTATTTTATAAATTTTGTAAATATTAGAAACAAAAATAGTGAAATGAGAATCAGAAAACACATTAAATTTTCAGTTAAGTGAATTAATACGTAATATCGTGAAGATGTGAATGACAGAGAGATAACTTATTCAGCCTATGCTTTAGGTGAACACTACCTGACTTTCATTTCATCTGTTGGCCATGATTCTGTTCCTCCTAATGTTCCATAGTTGACAGCAATACTAGATGCAATTAACCCTACTATGAACCCTCAAATAGAAAATTTCAGAAATTACACATGTATGGTAAATAATCCAAATGATCGTCATAATAGTTATCAAAGGTACCATGATTATAATTTAATACGCAAGACGCGCGTTTCGTCTACATAAGACTCATCAGTGACGCTCAGATCAAAATAGTTATAAAGCCAAACAAGTACAAAGTTCAAGAGCATTGAGGACCCAAAATTCCAAAAAGTTGTGCCAAATACGGCTAAGGTAATCTATTCCTGGGATAAGAAAATCCTTAGTTTTCCGAAAAAATTCAAAGTTTTGTAACAGGAAATTTATAAAAAAGATCATATAATTGATATTCATGTCAACACCGAAGTGCTGACTACTGGGATGGTGATACCCTCGGGGACAAAACGTCCACCAGCAGTGGCATCAACCCAGTGGTGTAAATAGTTATCAAAGGTTAAAATTAAAATGAAGTTATAATTCTACAAGAGGAACATTTAATGTCTGTAAGAACCATTTATGCAGAATGTCACAATTTTATCTTACAAATCCGTAATTTCAAATGTATTGTTCACCATTGCCATGCTTAAACATGTTTAACCCCGCCGCATTTTTGCGCCTGTCCCAAGTCAGGAGCCTCTGGCCTTTGTTAGTCTTGTATATTTTTTAATTTTAGTTCATTTATATGTTTTGGAGTTTAGTGTTACCTCCATTTTCACTGAAATAGCACACAATTTTATTTAGGGGCCAGCTGAGGATCACCTCCGGGTGCGGGATTTTCTCGCTGCATGGAAGACCCATTGTTGGCCTTCGGCTGTTGTCTGCTCTTTGGTCGGGTTGTTGTCTCATTGACATATTCCCCATTTCCATTCTCAATTTTATTCCATTCTACTGAAATGTTTTAGGATCTAAATTGGTCAAGTGTTGCCATACTAGCTCACCTCAACCAAGTTTTTATATAATCTATGTTAGTCTAGCATTGCCAAACTAGCCCACCTCATTCAAAAGTTTGTAAAATCTACAAATTAGTCTATTGTTGTCAAGTTAGAAAACCTTATACAAAAGCTTGTAAAATGTCTGTTACTCTAGCAGTGTAAAAGTAGCCTACCTCATCCAAATGCTTGCAAACTCTGCTTTCACATCAAATTTGTAATTGAAGAAAAATAACATAACAGGAGCTATTTTCTTCACTTAACATTAAAAGTTGATTTCTGACAAAATTTTCAACATTGTTCCTATTGAAATTTGTTTTTTTGTGTGTTTGACAAATAAAAGTTGGAAAATGACGATGTTTAAATTAAGGCTTTCTTTAGCGATTTTTTTTTTTTTAATCGCATATTTCAAAAGGAACTATGCTAAACATTTTGGTCAGAAAATCAACTTTTTATAATTAAATCTGTGTCTATATTGAACAGATTGAAAATATATTATTGATAATGAATAAATACAACATCACATGCAGTTTTGTGAGTTGATACATGTATTTTAATCTATTTAGAAGATAATTTGTTTATTCAGGGAAATTAATCAATGAGTGATAGATTTCTCTTGCAGCACACTGACTTGAGTGTGTAGGTAAAGGTAATATCTTTGGTTAGCGCGCTTGCTAGCTGAACCATGAAATCATTATTAGCTAAGGTACTACCTTCTTTTGGGCGGAGTCAATATTTAAGCAGGGAACCAATCAAAAGTAGGAACAATATATAAATATTGTGAAACCAGTTTTACATGTTTATCCCTAGTAGTAGGACAACCTTCCATACGAGACCCTCATGGGTAGTCAAGGTCTTTAAACACCCCATAGTTCAAGTTAGTTCAAAAATAACATTTTAAGGTTAAAGGTGTGTTTGATTTTAAATTCCATTTCAATAAGTTACCTCTGTTCATTTATAACTAGAATGTTTACATGTGTAATTCTATATAACAGAATGATATATACATATACACATCGATATATTGGTGTATTGCTGTTTTTTTTTCTGCTTGCGAAATTAAATCTCTTGTGAAAATCAGTTGGTTTACAGTATTTACACAATACATTTCTTTCTTAAATTCTGTTCATTTTACAGCTCAAATTTTTCAGAGTATTATGAGAATACATTTAAGTTTGCTAGTTGTTAGGTGAACCACGAATTCTTTATCATTCAGCCATCGTTAATATTGAAAACTACTACTACTGTTCAAAAGAGGTTTTTAGTCACCCCCGTTGTGACCAATATAAGTGGTTTCATTGGATCGCAATAAAAATGCAAATGCCAATACATTATGCTTCAATAGGTATTAAACAAAGGTAATAGTGATTTAATGGTCAACCAAGCAAACAAAAAACTTAACAACATTGTTTCTTGGTACACACTCACGTAAATAAGCTATAATTTTTAGTAATTATCCATATTGCCTGTATTTGGATAAACTGTTTACACAGAGATATGTCTCCCCTATTTGTTATTTTGATAATGCAAATGTTGAAATTAAAATAGCAATACTTTAACATGTAAGTTATGCAAATATTCAAAGTCAATGACCCATGACTGAAGGTACAGGGCTGAACAATCTCCATGGAAATGAGATGTGCCAATGCTAATACAACTGCAAACCAAATACCATTGACTTTTTATAAGTCGTTCCCTTTAAACAAACCTAAAAACAAACATTAACTTGTAAACTATGTAAAAGTTTCAAAGTCAATGAACCATAATTAGGGGGTGGGGTTATATAATCTCCATGGAAATGAAACTTGCAAATGCCAATACATTTGCATACCGAATATCATTGACTTAACATTAGAGGTTCATCTAAAACTGATCTAATCACAAACCAATACATGTAAACTACGCAAACGTTTCAAATTTAATAGACCCTGACTGAGGGGAAAGGACCAAATAATCTCCATGGAAATGAGATATGCCAATGCTTATACAACTGCATACCAAATATCATTGATCTACCGCTAGTGGTTCCCCATAAACTGACCTAATCACAAACTAATACATGAAAACTAAGCAAAGTTTTAAAGTCAATAGACCTTGACTGAGGGGGTGAGGCCAAATAATCTTCATGGTAATGAGATGTGCCAATGCTAATACAACTGCATACCAAATATCATTGACCTACCGCTAGTGGTTCACCATGAACTAGACCTAATCACAAACTAATACATTGTTGACGCCGCCGCCGGAAACAGCATTCCTATGTCTTGCTTTTTGAATCCATCAAGGCGAGACAAACAAACCTACCACATAGAACACATATCAATAAGCCCTTGATTTCAGAAAATATTCCTAGATTTCTCAATGAGTCATTTTTTATAACAAATCCAAAGGTTCCTGCTAGTATTGGTCCCTGAAAAGATATGGAGAAATAATAAAACCTAAATTTCTGAAGAAATAGCAGTGAGATCATGTTATAAATTACTATCATACATCTTTATTCGAGCATTTATTCTGACAGTATTTGTGGATCAGAACTTTTTTTTTAAATCTTACAATTTTTGTCTGTATTCTCTTGATTAAGGCTTTAAGCATCACTGGAATATGGTTTTCATTCTGATTTCACAACCTTTTTTGGCACATGTAGATCCTCATTCATATAATACAGGAAAGGATATTAATTTTATATAGACTGGTGGTTGGAGGCAATATTTAAACCATACTAAGGATGAATAAAATGCTTCACCGAGTGCAGCCTGATACAACCGCAGAGGTTGAACCCTGAACAGTTGGGGCAAGTTTGGACACAATATTCAAGCTTGATACTGTCTGAATTTGGATTGTGATCAAATTTTTGACATACATGACATAATATAGGTTTCTGACACAAAATAAATGTGGTCAAAGATCTTAAAAATTTGAAATTGGACATTTAATTTACCTAGTATGGTCTGTACTGTTGTGCGTTTTTTTTTTCTACATTGGCTAGAGGTATAGGGGGAGGGTTGAGATCTCATCAAACATGTTTAACCCCGCCGCATTTTTGCGCCTGTCCCAAGTCAGGAGCCTCTGGCCTTTGTTAGTCTTGTATCATTTTTAATTTTAGTTTCCTGTGTATAATTTGGAGTTTAGTACGATGTCTATTATCACTGAACTAGTATACTTATTTGTTTAGGGGCCAGCTGAAGGACGCATCCCGGTGCGGGAGTTTCTCGCTGCATTGAAGACCCATTGGTGGCCTTCAGCTGTTGTCTGCTCTATGGTCGGGTTGTTGTCTCTTTGACACATTCCCCATTTCCATTCTCAATTTTATCTGATATCCAAAATCTAACAACATGGTTAGAGTCAGCATAATTATAAATAAAATGCTCCGCTGGGCGCAGCTTGATACGACCGCAGAGGTCGAAACCCTGAAAAGTTGGGGCAAGTATGGACATAACATTCAAGCTTGATACAGCACTGAATTTGGATTGTGATTAAATATTTGACACAGAATAGGTTTCTGACACAGAATGAATGTGGTCTAAGAACTTAAAAAATTTTAATTTACCTATTCAAACCATATCATTATTATTTGCTTTTATATATAAATCAGAAATAACCAATTTAAAATGAAAAATTTTAAAGAAAAAAAAGGGGAAAAAAATCCCCCCTCAAATTTTTTGAACCCCCTTATGATTCATCACCCCCAAACTCAATCCCAGCCTTCCCTTTGTGTTACAATGTATGGTGCCTCGCAGTACAATTTCAGAGAGATCCGTACACTTGAACACAAGTTATTGTCTGGAAACTAGAAAAATGCTTGTTTTTTTGCCCCTTTTTGGCCCTAAATTCCTAAACGTTTAGGGCAATTACCCCCAAACTCAAACCCAGCTTTCCCTTTGTGATATGGAACCTTGTTGTACAATTTCATAAAGATCCATACACTTACACACAAGTTATTGTCCTGAAACTAGAAAAATGCTTGTTTTTTGGCCCCTAATTCCTACAATTTTGGGGCAATTACCCCCAATATCAATCCCAGCCTTCCCTTTGTGGTATAGTACCTTGCAGTACAATTTCAGAGAGATCAATACACTTGAACACAAGTTATTGTCTGGAAACTAGAAAAATGCTTATTTTTGGCCCCCTTTTGGCCCCTTATTCCTAAACATTTTGGGCAATACCCCCAAACTCAATTCCAGCTTTCCCTTTGTGATATGGAACCTTGTAGTACAATTTCAGAAAGATCCATACACTAACACACAAATTATTGTCATGAAAATAGAAAAATGCTTGTTTTTTGCCCCTTTTTTGGCCCTTAATTCCTAAAATGTTGATGCAATTACCCCCAAAATCAATCCCAGTATTCCCTTTGTGATATGAAACCTTGTGGTACAATGTCAGAGAGATCCATACACTAACACACAAGTTATGTCTGGAAGTTACAAAAATGCTTATTTTTGGCCCCTTTTTGACCCCTGATTCCTTAACTGTTAGTACCATAACCCCCAAAATCAATCCCAACCTTCCTTTTGTGGTATTGAACCTTATGGTAAAATTTCATAGAGATCTATTCACTTAAACTAAAGTTATTGTGCGAAAAACCAATGTGTCTTCGGACGACGATGACGCCAACGTCATACAAATAATAAACGACCGCAAAAATTTGTTGCAGTCGTATAATGAGATTTTTATTTTTGTGATACTTGAAAAAATTCTGCTTCATTCATATAAAAAATCCAAAATACCAGTTTAAATCATTGCAACTGCAACTCTGTTGCATTTTTTGCAATAATAAAAACATTGCAATAGTTTCCGAATTTACAGTAAATATGAAAACTGCTTTGAACTGAATAAAACACTGAGTTGGATTTTCAACATGCTAACTCAGAAAACATTTCCTACAGGTCACCAGCTAGTAATTTCTATGTTCAGTTAACCGTAAAGAATTGGGATCAAAACCCTTTATTTGACATATAACATGTATAATACAAAAACTACTGTAACCAAAAACCTTGAACCTACGAATGTTTAATATGATTTTACACTATGAAATTGGTGGCAAAAAAATAATTTGGCATATAATTTTAAAGTCATATGAAACTTCAAATTAAAAACAAAGTTGAATATGTTTTATATACTTGAATGGCTAAGTTTTACTGTAAAATAAGTGTGTGTTAACTTTCTTGTAAAAGAAAATCTTTCATATAATCAAAATCTTCATAAATGTACTGCTATTGAATTATTGTTTTCCCGTACACTAGTTCACTGACATTTACCCTAAACTATGAGACCTCTCATTAGAACTTTGGACACCCCACAGCGCAAGTGCAAGGGGAAAACCATGATGATAGAGTGTAAACAAATGTGCACTGGAAGGTAAATAGTAATAACTTTCTCTTAAAGAATAAATTAAATACACCAAATGTTTGAACAACTGTTAAGAAAAAGTTTAATAAACAAAGAGGAATGCAGGAAAAATATAAAAAAGAAATATCATGACTCTTATCAGTTCACTGATTCTTCATGTGCTCCACATGCTCTGTATTGATTGTTTATCAATGTCATGATCTGGTACACCTCGGCAACAAACTCGAAAGTTAATTAGCTTGCGATCAACAATCATGGAATGAAATATTATTTATCGATAATACATTATATATTCATAATAAATAAAATACATGGGGAATGTGTCCATGGGACACAGATGATGCCCACGCTTGCATATAACATTATAAAGGAGCATAACTCAAGAACGGTAAAAGTGACGCTACTCAAAAACAAACTTGATCTGTGTTTTGTGGTGATAAGCACTGTGTATGAGATATATAACATTTGGTTGAGGCAAACTAAAGTTAGAGAAAGGAAACAAAAAATTCAACAATTTTTCCATTTGTAAAGGGACATAACTCAAGAATGGTAAAAGTGACCACCAAAATTCAAACTTGATCTGTGGTAATAAGCATTGTGTATGAGATATGTAACATTTGGTTGAGGCAAACTAAAGTTAGAGAACGGAAACAAAAAATTCAACAATTTTTCCATTTGTAAAGGGGCATAACTCTAATACGGTAAAAGTGATCACCAAAATTCAAACTTGTCTAAAACATACCCGTGAAATCGCGGGCATTTAGAGCATGGTTGAAAGTATATAAACTGTTGTAGGATGAATTTTTGTAAAACATTTTTTGACTGGAGAATTTCAGGAAAGGTATCAAAAGTCATAGGTACTTGGTGACAGGACAATTTTTTAGCCCTCCCCCTTTCTTCCAAAGTCAGTTATTTTTTATTTTCTGTTTTTCTGTATACTATAAACATACATATACTATAAATAAAGTGTATTTGCTATTAACTACCAATTCCAAGTTTACTATCCATGGCAGTCACTGATATATTATATAGAGACTCTCCATATATTACATTAGTGACCACCGTGGATAGACTATTTAGATATTAGATTTAGAGGGTTTTCCAGGGGTCCCTGGTCCCCCCCCCCCCTTTTGTGGGAAAAATTTGCTTGATTATTTAGGGAATCACTGAAGCATGACTGGAGCGGTCCCCCTCTTAGGCAGTCAGTGGGCTGCCCCTTATGAAAATTTCTGGGTCCGCCACTGATAGCAAACTTGGAATTGATAGTAAATAGCAAATACACTTTATTTATAGTATATGTATGATCATAATATACAGAAAAACGCGAAAATAATTTTCCTGTCCCCAAGTACTTATGAAAATTATGTGTAATTTTAAAACAGTCCTAAACGGAAGTCTTGTCTATGACTTAAAAGTCTGTCCGATGACGGAAACACTATCCAGATGCCTTTAATTTTCGTTTTCCTCCCAAAATAACCCAAACTGAATAATCATAAGCTAGGATGACAAATGTGACTATGCATGTGTTTTGTGGTAATAAGCATTGTGTATGTGATTCATAACATTTGGTTGAAGCAAACTAAAGTTAGAGAACGGAAACAAAAAATTCTGCAATTTTTCCATTTGTAAAGGGACATAACTCTAGAAAGATAAAAGTTACGCCACCCAAACTCAAACTTGATATGTGTTTTGTGGTAATAAGCATTGTGTATAAGTTTCATAACATTTGGTTGAAAATTAGACAACGGAAACCAATTTCAGGATGTATGGACGGACGTACAGACGGACAAGGGTAAAACTTAATACCCCTTCCGCTACGGCAGGGGCATAAAAAGTACATACAGGACTAAGTTTAGTATATATGCATGCATTGGTTCAATTATTTCGATAACATCATAATAAATAGAAAATCCTTTCATAATATTTTTTAAAAGTTCAGATCATTATGAACATCTTTACTAAGTTTCAAGCTGATGTGACTGCAACTTTCATGGTCAACTACCCTACCGCTAATCAAACACTGAAACCTGATAGAGCTAGGACAGACTGATGGATGCACATACCAGAAAACATAATGCCGATCTGCTATCATGACTATTGGAGTAGGAGGGGGCATAAAAAAAATATTTTAAAGTCCAACAATTCATAAATCCCACTCACCATTAGAGGAGAAACTAACATACTTGCTACCAGTATTACAGAACTACTCTCTATCAATCCTAATGCTGCAATTATACTGAAAAATACAAAAAAAATCTTCACAGATACATTTTTATAATTTAACTGAAAAGAAGTAAAAGGCAATTTACAAATTGAAGCTTTTTGGCATGTGTAACTCTAAAGCTTCAATTTGTGTTGAACAGCTAATATTCCCAAGGCTTCCAAAAGTCATATTTGCCGAACAAATTTAAATTTATCGGACATTGTCCAACTGGGCCAAGCATGAAACGGACACCCTACTTGGGTTTGCCATTTCAACGTTTGATGCGATTCAGAAATATCAACCATTTTGACTTGACCTTGTGCCTTAAGCACCCACACTTTCCGGTCATAAAAGTGACAGTACTCTATAAACATGCCCTACTATAATCCCCTCTAATTACAATCAATGTTAATTAAGTGTCTAACAGGTGAGATTTACCTGTGATCACCTGTGTCAGGTAAACTATTTGTATTGAACATTAATCGATCTTTTCTTATATTCATCAGAATCTTTTTCAGGAAAAACAGATTATCATTACTTTTCGGATAAACAGAAATAAATTTGCCACAAAGATTAACTGAATTGTAATTGTATGATTATCAATGTCATTATTGTATGTGGCATCCTTATTATAATGGACTGAATACTTGTTTCTTAGTTTAGTACTCTATTGCCAAATGTATACAAAAACATTCATTTGAGTAAACTAAGGTTGGATTTGGTTGATATTTCATCAAGCATCAAAGAAGTTTATTTCACTGTAATGGCTTTACTTTTTTTTTATTAAATTACCATAACAAGTACATTTTAAATACTTATAATGAAAGAGAAGAATTCGCAAATCCACTATATAGGCTGGGCACAAGGGACATTTGACAATCAAGAGGTTTTGCCGGCTTCCAATGTTAATGAGTGGTAATCAAGACCATCAGAACTGAATTGTACTTGATTAACACATTAGCAATTTGCATTGAACAATGTATAGTCTTTTTTAAAATTCCTATTGATGAAATAGAATTGATTTCTTATAGGAAAACCAATTAACATATGTATGGTACATATCATAATAAAAATAGCTTTACTGGGTGCACCAATACGTTTCAATTTTGATTGCCCCATGTAGTTATTCTTTTTTTTCCCTTAAAATGTTGTGTTTTATTTGACAAAACTAGGAAATAGATTCGAGTTTTGTTTACTAACACTGTTAACTACAATGTCAGCTGAGACAATTTTGTAAGATAACTGGATTTGAATACTTTCGGACATCAATTGGTGATTTGATGGTCGGAAATTGAGTACACTGGCAACTGCTAGCAAAGCCAGTAAAGGGATATTTACATTCATCAAATCAAAAATTGAAGGTTGCAAATCGCCAAATAGAATACTATTATCTCCATTCTAATGCAACTGAAAAAAACACTGCTAAATCATACATTTTAAATATCAGTCATCCAACATCTGCTTTTGCAAGCACAATTTAAGACCATAAATCATGGAATCGATGCCCTGAAAATCATGTTGTCCAATTGAAATGAATATTCCAAACAAGAGTGCACGTGCTGAAATGTCTCGCCTTCTTTACTGACCATTGATTTTATGTTGATAGTCCTAAATATAAAGCTTTACTAAAAGTATCACATAAACTTAACATGGTCCAAGAAAATGAGGTCAAGGTCAGATAAACCAAAGTTTTTACCAAACCAGTAATACATATACACCTTACAATCATTCATTACACCAAATATAGTTGACTTATTGCTTATAGTTTCTAAGAAACAGTCTTTAACTGGAAAACTAAACATTGACCAATGAAACCATGAAAATAAGTTCACGGTCAGATGAACCATGCCAGACAGACATGTACACCTTACAATCAATCTATGCATTAAATATAGTTGACCTATTGCTTATAGTATCTAAGAAACAAACTTAACCATGAAAACTTAACATTGACCAATAAACCATGAAAATGAGGTCAAGGTCAGATGATACCTGCCAGTCAGACATATACACCTTACAATCATTCCATATAACAAATATAGTTGACTTATTGGTTATAGTTTAAGAAAAATAGACCAAAACACAAAAACTACACACTGAGCAATGAACTGTGAAAATGAGGTAAAACCTGCCAGACTGATATGTACATTGTAAAATATTTCCATACTCCAAATATAGTTGACCTATTGCTTATAGTATAAGAAAAAAAGACCAAAACACAAAAACTTAACTTTAACCACTGAACCATGAAAATGAGGTCAAGGTCAGATGACACCTGCCAGTTGGACATGTACACCTTACAATCATTCCATACACCAAATATAGAAGACCTATTGCTTATAGAATCTGATATATATGGACTTGACCACAAAAACTTAACCTTGTTCACTGATCCATGAAATGAGGTCGAGGACAGATGAAAACTGTCTGACAGGCATGAGGACCTTGCAAGGTACGCAAATATTAAATATAGTTATCTTTTTACTCATAATAAGAGAGAAATTAACATTTCAAAAAATCTGAACCATGAAAATGAGGTCAAGGACAATGGACATATGACAGATGGAAACTTCATAACATAAGGCATCTATATACAAAGTATGAAGCATCCAGGTCTTCCACCTTGGAAAATATAAAACTTTTAAGAAGTTAGCTAATGCCTCTGCCACCGCCACCGGATCACTATCCCTATGTCGAGCTTTCTGCGACAAAAGTCGCAGGCTCGACAAAAATGTTGCATAAGAAATTGTTTTACCATAAAAAAGAATTTGTTTTGTTTGGCCTTACCTGGCTGTAATTATAAGCATTAGATAGTCAAATTTAAATTCTGCATTACTCTGAACAGCAGTTACTACCTGAAAGAATACATTAAATATAATTCAGTTAATGACATGCCCAATACCTGTCAAAAAATGTTTAAATTTCTGCAACTTATTTTCCACAAACACATATTATTCAAGTAATAACAGCACTGTAATTGAAAAGTTGCTGTCGTCAATAGGCGATTAAACGGTTGCAAATGCAGCTTTACTATATAAGCTAGCAACGCATAGAGGAGCCTAATTGAAGGCAGCTATTGTTATTCCTATTCTAATGCATTACAAAATGAAATTGGATATTAGAGCTTGTACAAATGAATAGATCTAAGATAAATAAAATTCTTCAAAACTTCATGAAAGATTTTGTAGCATTAACATCATGGCAAAACATGACGACTTACAAAAAAACTTTCAAACCAAAAATTGGTTATTACTTGTAAGATTCAAATTTTGATAAAATGTCATTGAAATGATGTTTTTAAGGCAGGTTATGATTATATTGTATTAATTGATGATTTGTGAATTAGTAACTAATTCAAACCTATTCCTTGATATTGTTCAATAGAATAGACTATTTTCATATTACCGACTTTTGACTCCAGAGTTTATATTTTTTCGACAGGTTACCTATTCTGTGGTAAGACATCCTGGTACTTGGTCAAGGAAGAGCAACTTAGAGAAGTAAAATCAAGCTTACAATGGGTACAATTTGGGGGGGAAGATTAACTGTTTCATGTTTTTTTATACATGACAAAATAATCGGAAAACAGTAAACTTTCCCCCCAAATTGCACTGTTTATATGTTTGATTTTACTTCTTTTGGTTGCTCTTACTTGACCAAGTACCAGGATGTCTTAGCGTGGAGTATGTAACCTGTCAAAAATTTATATAATCCGGAGTCAAAAGTCGGTAATATGAAAATAGTCTATTGGTTAGACCTAAATTACCTGTGACACTAAGAGTCTCGCTTTTATGGATTTCCTAAATTCTCCCTCGTATAGTGATCTGTAAAATAAAATTTAATCCATTTTCAATTACAATGTATTGACAAATTCATTAATTACCAAACAACAATAATTTTGTATAAAGTCTTTCATTTTCACCAGCAATTTAATTTCCAGTAAACTACAAGATATGCAGAAAAAAAATCAATATTATGAAGATAAATTAAAAAAATGCTTTACATATTTCAACATTAGCTGAATTTTTTTTTTTATCATTACATATAATAACTCTAAAATACCTGCAAGATCAAATAAACAGCATGTGTACAGCAGTTATTCCCCTTTTGTATCTTTTCAGTTTTGGTTTTGTGTATATTAACACTCTTTTATGAAAATAATTGAAATCTATTTCGTATCCTTCTAGCATGAAAAGATGTGAAATTCTATAAAAGGCTCAACTTTACATTTTGCCAGCTGAATTTTTCAACTATGGCAGACATATATATTATATATAATACCCCAAATTAGAAGTACAAAAATTCTAGAATATGAGCTTTAATATTCACACATTCCCAAGTTTTGTACTGCGATCTTAGAAAAAAAGTACAAAGCTGTTTACTACATACAGACCTTCTAAAATTCAAACTGACCATTATTCCGTGCGTTCATCGTGTATCGTGCGTGTTGCGTGCGTGTATCGTGCGTGTATCGTGCGTGTACCAATCGTGCGTTCATCATTCATCGTTCCGTGTATTTTCCGTGTAACGTGCGTGCATCGTGTATTCTTAATCGTGTATGGTGCGTGTATCGTGCGTGTATCGTGCGTTCATCAATCATTCATTCTTAACCGTGTATCGTGCGTTCGTCAATCGTGTATAACTGTGTACATCAGATAACGTGCATTTGTCAAACGTTCATCTCTAATCGGGTAACGTTCATTCATTGCGGTTTTTATATGATAGTCGGTTATAGAGCTCATCAAAGCTTATATTTTATCTCACGGTTAAAGTGTATATATATGTTCCGACTTTAAAAAAAATTACATTCATACTTACTTTCTTGTGAACACTTAATTAACGTCATCGTACATAACGTTCATACAGATTCATGAATTTTTGTGTAAAATTTATTTATCATCTGTAAACATTTCGTGGTTATTCAGTGAATCTTGGCTGGGACTGACACATTTTAATATAATGATACATGTTCTACGTACAAACAATAACATGATGACATTTTTACGACAGAACAGTTAAAATTGGAATTTCTATTCAACTGAGCGAAATGGGCTTAAAAATATACTGTTGGCCAACTGTTATTTGTTAAAAAATATTCCGCCAATTAAAAACAACAGTGCTTTTGCAAAATTTAGATGTGGGGTAGCTCCACTAAAAATAGAAACTGGAAAGTATGAAAGAAAAGAAGTCCACGAGATGACATGTGTTGTAGCTCTACTATTGAAGATGAACTTCATGTCATTTTAAAATGCCCATTATATGTAGATTTAAGACAAATTATGATACATTAAGCTAAACATTTTAATGAAATTTTAACCTTTAATTATCAGATAACGAAAAATTTATATTTTTATTTAATAACGGCAATGTTGCTGCTATAGTTGCCAAAAAAATCAACAATATTTCATTGAAAAGAAACGGCATTTTATTTCCTAGTTCTCAAAGAAAAAATGTTTTATTTTCATATAGTACAGGTGGACACTGTAAATTTTAAATGTAAATGAGTAAATATATTGTGTCTTAAAAGTCTCTCATTATTCTTTTTAAGATTGGTACATACAATGCAAATGTTTTAATGTTTTATGTTTATTTCTGTGATTCTCATTTTATGTTTGTATGTGGTGAAGACTATAATAAAATATTGAATCAGTATTAACATGATTAATGTTCAACTTGAGTCATTTCTCCAATGTTGAACAATGCAAGATTATAATTCTTCGCTTATTTGGCAAATTCATATTCTACTAAATATTCAAACATTTAAGTTTTGATAAATACCATTACAAATATAATTTTTGTCTTCGTTTCTGATGGTCACGTGCAGGTAAGGTTATTCCATTGAGAAAATACAATATACAAGATTGTCGGGTAAATGTGGATTGCGGATTAAGATTTTAGATGTCAAACTTGAATTAACAAATTAAACTGAGGCGAATTTAACACGAACATGTATTTTCTCTTCAACAGTGTTTTTATTCTCTGTTCTTTATTTTCATTTAAAATAAGCTAAATATGTTTTGTGGAAAATTGAATACAAATAAACATATGTATTTGAAGGCATTTTTTTAATTAAACAAGTATAAGATCACGCAAATATATCCCGTATTCCTTAAGAAGGATTTTAAATTGAGGAACTTTTTAAACTTGAAATTGTGTTTACGAGTTTAAGATATTCTGTTTTATTTAAATTTTTTGATAAAATAGTTAAATATATTGTATTATCATAACAAGACTTTATTTAAATGGAATAAACATGGAACACTTTCACAGATTCACTTTTCATTGTGTTCATGGTTGCATATCAAGGACACCGTTTTTAATGTATGTCTAAAAGATTAATATCCGAAAAAATAATTCACAATAGTACTTTGTATTAAAGAATGACGGATTATTTTACCATGGGGGTATTTTTTGTTCCGTTACTGAGGACATTTTTTTGTCCTTTATGAATCCATATAACAAATTTGACTCCAATAAGGATAAATTTTATCTTATAGAAAAATCGGTAGTTTTTATCCGATAGATTTTGTGTTCATCTTTATCGGATATAAAAGATTGAAAAATACAAACAATTAATTGAAGTTTCGTATGCATCTATCACGATCCAGCAACTTTTGACTAGTATAAAGGGTTGCCTTGGTTTTATAGCTCAAAACGGTATCATTTGTTTTGCTTTACATTGGGTTAAATAATGAAATGTATGTTTCAGAAATTTACACAAGTTTGATTTCGGCTTTGACTCCCGGGAACACTGTCGTTTACAGTAAAAGACGAAAATCTACACATGTACGTTCTTATAAAAAAGAAGTTGTGGTATGATTGCCAATGTTCATCATTATATCATAATTATTGTACTCCCCTAATAATGAATCTATAATATATGCCACTGGACGTTAAACGATCAACTATTTATTCATCCATCTTATCCTTTTAGTTTTGTGATAATTTGCATATCAAATACATGAAACAACAGGGGCGGATCCAGCCATTTTAAAAAGGGGGGTTCCCAACCCAGGGCAAAAGGGGGGGGGGGGGGGGGGGGGGTTCCAACTATATGTCCCCATTCAAATGCATTGGTCGTCAAAAAAAAGGGGGGGGTTCCAACCCCCTGAACCCTCCCCCTGGATCCGTCACTGAACAACTGCAGAATTTCACTAAAGTTAGAAGGCCGATATTATTGCACATATAAAACAGGCATTAACATCGATCCCTACGTTTAGATCCCCTCACAAAACAACACTTTATAAATTTCATGCATCTATAACGCTTTTCTGGATTTACTTTCACTAGGAACGCTCAATGCTAAATATTTGAAAGCCAAAGAATGTATAAAATAGATAGGAGTGTAGAGCTATATGACCAATAAAGGGCCTATACACATTCACAACATTCTGTGTATTTATGTGTCTGTCCAAAGTCAAAAGCACGTAGTTCGGTGGTTTTCGTAACATCAATTCTGTTATATACATGTATTTGGGCTTTTTTTGTGGCAAGATACATGTAGCTTTGAAATAAAGAAGGCCGTTAGTTTGCTCAATTGAATTGTTTCATATTTGTTTCATGTCGGGGCGGGGCCTTTAATAACCGACTTTACAGTTCCCGTATTTTTTCATTATTGAAGGTCGTATAGATATAACTGCTAGCATTCCTCTTGATTTGAACTTTCTTGAATAGTTGACTCACTAGCTATTATACCACATTTTCTTATTTTTACATAAGCCTTCAATCCATCAAAAGCCAATTTAGTCTGCTGTAGCTGAAACCTACGTATCTTAAAAAAAATATCTAAATTTATATACCGACAATTTAAGAAATGTTTGTCATAGATATCTGTTCGTGATATAAGTATCAAAATATTTTAGCTATGAAGATGTGTAAACCCTTAAATAAACCCTATTTCTTTGGGCAATACCTACGGGAATTAAAATAATAAAAACCATTATTAGAAAATCGGAATATATATGTGTGTATGACTCGGAGGTGCAATGGAGATCATAAAGTTTGATGGCCACGCGTGAAGTGCGCTGGTCTGCGCCGAAGTGCGATGAGCTGTTCGATGGTTTGCGATGGTTTATATAACGCGGGATACCTAGATTAAAGTCTACAGATGTGCAATTATTATGAGCAGTATATTTGTTTCAATGTCAGTATATAAAGCATTTACTAGTGTTATTGTCTATGAATGTAATAGTTAAAGTTGCCGCGTACTAATTTAGAGATCGTCCTATTTGATGTTTTGCATGTGGAAATTATTCTTGCTTCAGCATGTATCTTTACTTAATTTGTTCCTCTAATGAGATCATCATTTACCGTTATATAATCATAAGAATAGTTTCACGGTGGACCCGTATGTATTGAGGAAATGACACTTCATCGTACGTAAAAACAAATCTTTCGTATATTTCCCGTTTCACAGTCCTACATGTATATTGAATTTTACCCACAACTCAGAAAGTTGACCAGCGCGGGGTATGCTTTAAACCTCTTATTCTAGATGTCAGGTAACTTACTCGTGTTTATGTTGGATTGCTGTCTGATTGACGAATATCCGTCATTTTATATATATATATAACAAACAAATTTAAATTATATATATATATAAAGAAAAGTTAAATAGAATCCGTATGCTGGTAACATACAAGAACATTAATAAAAGATAATAACGGTTTCAATTCATCACTTTTACTAGCGCTTTCACTGCTTTTACAGGACTTCAGGTAATATATATATATTTAAATTTGTTTTTTAGGGATGCATCCAGTTGCACCTTTTCATTTAAAATATATTTCCGTGAAGTAATCTCAAAAGATTACTCACTTCAATA